AAGCTAAATAGGAAATACTGTCTTATAGTTTCCAGTAAAGATTAAAATGTATAAGAACTCTAAAGTATTGATCTCAGTCGGGTCTACGGAAAATTGTATGTAACTATAGGTACTTATGTGTTGTATCTGGCTATTTTCTGTTGAATTTAAGACTTCGACATACGGTTAAACGGTACATACCATATATACCATGGATACCCATTACTTCTCAAATATTCATTGTGAAAATTGAGGAGAAGGCACTTCGTGAAACTCTCATTGATCTAAGTTCGTACAAGCGGTATGTAGATGGCACTTTTACCACTCGAAACAGTGAATGCGTTTTAATACCATCTGAACGTTATTAGTTTAAAAGTACAGTTATTTAGGGAGTCAGAGGGACGTTACTCTTTAAGCAATCAAAATATCCATCAAGCGCTATATTGTCTATGGGAAATCAGTCCGCAAAACAGATATTTTGATTGTTATTTTCACCATGGTGGTGGTATTAGTAAACCTATATTTAATAGCCGTGACAGCTCAGGGTCCGGGAGCTCGCCTTTAGTTCAATATACTCGAGCAACCAGAATTCGATCCCTGGTGCTGGCACCAATTAAATTTTTAATTTCAAGTGCTGACTTATGACGTGCTCAGCGGTGAAAGAAAACATCGTGAGGAAACCTGCATATCAAAAAAATGTTTCGAAGATATGTGAAGTCCACCAATCCGCAGCGGGGCTGCGTGGTTGAGTATGCCCTGATACCCTCTGTACAGAGGAGGCCTTTGCCCAGCAGTGGGACATGTACAGGCTGTCACGTTTATATTTAATGTACGAGTAGGTAAATCCTCTTTTCAAGGGGTCTGTGTCAACGGCGACTTGTACAGTATTAGATTGATATTCTCACCTCTGTTACTTTCTAATACTTACCTACATATTTTAGTAACGGAGAGTAAACCATAATGCACGGAGTTCAGAGGTTCCCCGGTCGTATGAGGGTGCTTGATTTTGTATCCGCTCAGGCTATGCTCCGGTCAGCCCTGTGTCTTGGGCTTATAGAGTAGGGCTAGGGTCCTGCCTATCGTAAAACATGACTAAGGGGACGCGGATTGTCTCGAGCTGCTGCAAGATGGGGACGGAATAGCGGAAGGTCTATCCTTCTCCGAGGCGTGCTCACGTACCGAGCGATACCAGTGCGTTCCGTAGGCGATCCCGGAGTACCTACAAACCTATAGAAGGCCATTGAGGAGGTTTTAGTGGGTAACAACTCCACATAACCCTGTCATGTAAGGTGATAGGGTTGGCTATCTTTTGAAGATTGCCCCTCGATATCAAAAAAACGCGAACATATTTTCGTTAGCACCCTTTACTTTAACAAATTACTTTGTACGTTAAAGTACCTCGCAACATTGTACTTAAATATTAGAAAACACTTTTGGAGTAACTCTTATAATTAATTTTAACATCACCCCATATTGGGTAAGTGTTGACAAGTGTATGTTTTTACTGTAGATTACAACTTGATTTGCTTTTGCTTTGATATTCCACATTATGTCCTAGCCGCTATTAATTTTGCACTACGATTTTTTTTTTAATTTTCATCAATGTAAACATTATTATAATAAGCTTTCAATTATTTTTTTAAGTGGGTACATTAATATTTCTTCTTAACGATCTTTGTTCCTCCATCTTATTGTCTTTATTGGCCTCCTCACTTCTACATTACGGGAGGAGGTTCTCAATTCTGTATTTTAATGTTTGATTACCTCAGAACTTTCGATTGCGGGAACCGATTTTGATGATTCTTTTTTTGTTTGAAAGCTGGTGTTTCCCATGTGCTTCCACATTGTTAAATATTAACATAATCATTGTTATTTGATCTTGGGCTCTGGAGATACGTTGGGAACTCCTGAAAATCAATTAAAAAACAACTCAATTTTTTTTTGTTCAAGAAAAACAAAACCAACTTCAAATATCTCGCACCATATCCATTTTTAATTGTTTTTTGTTAATTTTAAAAGTATAAAATTTTTATAATTCTTTTGTTGACTGGTTTTTTCTTTCAAGTTCCCCCGTCGTACCTCATGGATAATTTTTTTTTATATTTCATCGTCGCCACAATCCTTTAAGTGTTCGTCCAGTCTTTTACTCGGAACGATGTTTGTTTAGCTCGATTTATTGTTCGAGATCGAGATTATAGTTGACTAACAGGTCTAGGTCAGGAACCTATCGTCGTTTACAGCAAATAGTTTCCAAAGGATCCATTGGTGCAGGTGAATGGCGTTTCAATCACGATCTGTCTTGTAATAGATCGATAATGAAGCAGTATTGATTAGGTTATTGTAAATTGATTGTTGATTAATTTAATAGGTACATTTATATTAACAGTCTTATCATGGAGTCTTTTTTTATTGGAAGGCTACGCTACGCTTCAGGAAGCAGACGAGCTCACAGCATTCTTTTTCACAAGGATCGTTGTAAACACCTGCTTATAAGGCCGATAGAATTATGAAATTGTTTACGACGTCCATTAATCCTACAGAAGCAACTTCCGCAGGATTAATGGGAGGTCTCAACAACAACTAACTACTGATTCTACATTAAAATAATATGACTATACTCTTTCTGAATCTTGATTACAAAACGTGTTTCAAATAAAGAAAGGCGTTTGATAAACATTGAAAATTAGCATTATGATAGATAGTGATCGTTTATGAATACAAAATGTAAAATATGCTCTGATTGAAAGTAATAGAAAATTATATATATGGTCTACGGAGTGACAGCTGTGCAGGATTAAAAAAGCGCGGGAACCGTAGCAACTTATTTCAGAGCCCTTCATCTGCTATGAATAATATAAAGTGATAAAAAACAACTCGATACTCAGTACGTTTATTTGCCATCTATAGGTTACAAACTTTGTAGGTAATTAATAGTCTAGTAGATAACTTTAGGCCCTGCTAAGCTCTGGCAAGTTCACAAAGCCAGAGATGAGTTTGCCTGGCAATATAGATTAATTTGGAAGAAACAAACAATTGATAACTGATGATGCTACACATATTTTTTTCAATGCATATTTCAATAGTAAAGTAAAGTAAAGTAACAGCCTATACATGTCCCACTGCTGGGCAAAGGCCTCCTCTATACAGAGCGTTTCAGGGCATAGTCCACCACGCGGCCCCACTGCGGATTGGCGGACTTCACATATTTTCGAAATACATTTTTTTTGTTATTATTTCGAAAATATGCAGGTTTCCTCACGATGTTTTCCTTCACCGCGGAGCACGTGATAAGTCAGCACTTAAAGTTAAAAACTTCATTGGTGCCGGCACCGGGGATCGAACTCAGGTTGCTCGAGTATATATTGAATTAAAGGCGAGCGCCCGGACACTGAGCTATCACGGCTCATTTCAATGATTATATTTAATACAAAGTATATTATAATTTTTGGAATAGCTATTGTTATATTTTATCAATCGTGTACTTTAAATAAAGTTTATGTTTACACGTTTATAAAAGCAACTTTTTGTAAATCTTGTGCGTTTACCGTATGAAATTCGGTGTTCTATTTACACCAAGGAAATAGCCGGTTACCGATTCTCTGACGTGAATTGCCTTCGTAGCAAAAGTTGTAACGTTTCACGTTTTTGTGAAATCAAGTAATTTTTTTTGTCGCCCTACCTGACTTACTTGCTTCCGTTCATAGCGTAAATAATTAATGCAATAATATCCTAAATCACAATTGGAAACTTTCTTATGCCGAGGAGGCAAGGATGTCTTGGCTGTCTATCTGCTCCAACGAAAATATCCCACTGGAAGTAAACCTACAAAAACAGAGTACAAAAAGCTATGTTTCAATCTTTAGATAGTGATTTACATGCCGCGAGGATTAGATAATTATAGATAGATTTAATGTTGTAAATGTTGAATGAATAAATTGTGAATTTTATTTAGATTTTTAACTATGATTAAACTTTATCAAGTAAATTCAATATACCACATATTAATAAGTTTCATTCAAAAAATTACGTTCACGCAGAGATGATTTGAGTTGATAGAGTGATGTTTAATTATAAGGGGCCCCCTTTCGCGCGGGGCCCGTAGCAATTGCTACTGTTTGCTACGTGGTTAATCCGGCACTAACTGACAGCAAAAACGTCATTTACATAAACATAAAGATTTATGAGCATCTAAATAGACTGGTAGACCCACTACAGTCCACTGCGTCCATCATTAGTGGGTGTGTCAATACATACCAGAGAAAACAACCTAGATCCAAATGGGTATGTATCATAGTCCCTTGATTTTTCTTCAAATGAAAAACTTTGGTCTGTTTTTTATTTATACATTACATCAGTGATGTCTTTTCTTCATTACATCTTGAACATTTCATCGTAGACGCAAAGCATGCAACGTGAGTACACGAAGCGTCATTCAGTATTTCTGCGAAGTCTTTATAATGTATCTAGAAATCTAACACTGGTATAGTATTTGTTTCTGGACTTTATTCATTAAATCATTTCTAAGCCAGGAACTTTATTGAACCATGTTACTCCTTTTTTATATTTTGAGCGTTCTTTTAATGGATCGTTAATTTTAATTTGCAGATTTTAAGAGCAATTTTTAGGGGAGGACGACGTTCAGCGGTGAAGTCGACAGGTTGTCAAGATGATTCCTTATGTGCTATAAATTCCTATAGAATACTGGTAAAATGATTTGTGAAAATGTTGAAACAAAATCAGATAGTCTACATTTGCGTTATTTAAATTTAGACATAAATTTATCTATTTGTAACACGTTCCTAATCTACTGTTCTATCACCAAACAATTACATTGTCTTCCGCATTAAATACAGATAAAAAACGAATCAAAAAAAAATGACGCGTCCGACACGTCAACTGACGATTAATTTATTAAAAATTTCATACGAGATAGAGATCGCCGTTTAATTGCGTTTTCATTGCACACGATCGACGTTGCATTGCTGCGTCGACAGCAACACCGTCGCATCCATCAGGGTCTACGCCGCTACGGCGCTACGGGCTACGGCCGTAGAGAGGGGGGCACCGAGTGGGCGGCGCCGAGACCCAGCCCTCGAGTCGCGGCTCGCGAATTGGTATCCCGCCGCCGCGGGCGAGCGGAAAACGCCTCTAGTAACGCTCAGTCCGCCGAGCGGGTAACACGTGCCGACCGCGTTGCGAAGTTGCGAACGGTGTTCCGTGGTGGTGTTTGTGTGTGACATGTTGGGAGGCACAGGTGCGCCCCGCTAGGTCATGTCGCGAAGGAAACAGAGCAACCCGAAGCCCCTGAAACGTAAGTTGCGGACCTCATTGGCGTTTCATCTAAGCTAAGACTCTACTGTTTGTTAGTCTTGAGGGAAGTTCAACAGTTAGCCGCTCCGGATTGTCCGCTAAGTTTGCCGAAAAGTTTGTTTTGTTTATGCGAAACATTCTCATTGCTTGAAATTAGGTTTGTGCAGCTGCCACTTTTGTGAAATAGTTGTGATGGGTGTTTTGTAAAAATTAAGTGTCAACGCAAAGTTCTGTATATTAAAGTTCAAGCTAAGATTAGATTGAGAACTGCTTGAACAGGAAAATTCATATTGTTAATTCTTCATATGTCGATTATTCTAGCTCATGTAAGAATATTGTTCTCAAGAAGACATCATAAAGCAAGTATTCGCTGTTCCTGAGAACAGAATTGGTGTCTTCAGCTCAACGTTTTCCATTTTAATAACCGTTATATTTTTCTTACAACCAGAAGCTTAAACACTTTAGCATACATTCTGAACACATTTTGCATGAAATTTTAATCAAATATTGGAACTTTTAAGGTATTGAAAGTTATTTAATGATGTTTAAAATAATAAGTAATGTGTAAATATAAACAGTGTATTGGTCCGTCATAAATATTTCTAGGTGATTTATTTAATATATTAAGTTAATTTAAAATTTATGACATGAATTCAAAGAAGATAATCCGACATTGCATTCAACCTGGGAAATTATAATCAACAATGCACAGTACTTATTATATTATAGTTATAATTATTCTTTTATTTTAGTTAATTTTTAATTTTCCTTTATCCCTTTATTTTGAATGCAATGACGTATTTCACTTTACAAATCTTCAGATCTAAATATGTATAGTATGCACACTTATAAATTAAGCTCATACCATTATCTTTATGCACTTAATGAACATTCTTAAAATCGTTTTAAACATAATAACTTCAAGGTAATAAGATAATCATTTTAAATATGTACTTAGTGTTAAACTATCTTAGATGTATAATATATGAATTTTAAAACAAAAAAAAGTCAAGCAAAGATTGCGGCTCAACGAAAAAAAAATTGTAAACTGTAATTATGATTTTTTACACTAAAGAAAATACAACAACACGGTATCAAACTGGAAACTAAAAATTGCGTTAGTGGGCCGGTTTTGAATTGCTGTTAACAATTTTAAAAGTGAAAGTAACACAGCTGTGTTGTGGATAAGCGACAGATAAACTTGCATGTCATGTCTATCATGGCTATGTAATTATCTGGAACAAATGTTTATTTATTTGATCAAAGTTGACTTTACAATTATTGTCAATTAGTTAGGCGTGGCTAAGACGCTAGAAGTAAGTCCGGCTACTCAAGTTTTTCTGCGCTGGGACTAAATTTAGTTTGAAATGTTGGTTAAAATATGTTGTATGTCAAATATGCCTTAATTGCACAGCTGATGAGGACGAAATAGTTGTCAAAATATTTATGTGAGACAATGCTCTTGAATGTAAATGATCAAAAAGAAATGATAATTCATTTATGTTATGGTTCTAGTTGACATTCCTAGACAAAGCTATCAACAGATAAAGACAGTAAGTAAATTATAAGTTGTGTAATATCAAGACAGTTTTAATTTGTTTTTAAGAGACGACGCGCTAATACCTTCGTAGTGTAGCGTTGAAAACGGCAACACGGCGTCCCCTCAAGACAAGCCACTCGAGGCAGATATTGAAATTTTGTTTATAAGAACGAATCAAAGTGCGGCCGAGTTCATTAAACCGTTATCTCCGTATTAATGTATTCTTTGATTGTTTATTTATCAATGTCGCGGCGATATGGTAACGTTAATATCGTTAATTATAGTTGTGGAAACGTCCAGCGGACGAGATACTCGTCTAATGAATTCTCCGCGTGTGCGATGTGGAGTGTACGCGGTGGAATTCACATTAAGTACCTCTATCACTTTCGTGTTAATTTAAAATTTGTCAATCTAAATCTCCCCGTAAACCATATGCTAGTTTTAAGTTGTCTTTCTTATCCTATGCGTATGCGTCCATATTTTTAGTCACGTTGGTATTGCGAATGGAATTTTGCGATGAATGCGTAACCATTCCCACAAAAGTATGTGAGAGATTTTATGGACGTTACGGGATATTTGTTTGTCCCTCTGACATTTTCGACAAACTACTAAAGCTGACAGCTACAGCGTAACGCGGGGTCAGTTTGGCTTGACTTGTAAGAGTAAGAGTTTTCTAGTACGGCGATAATTAAGTATAACGACAGATAATTGTCTTAATAACGAAGCCTATTAATTTTTACACAAGGTGAACACAGCCAACACTCTTTGAACCATTGCTAAAGCTTATTTTTTTATTATCTTCGTGAGGTATTTAGAAATAGTTGGCGGTAGCCCGGACTAGTGACGTCAGATCCACGAAAACCTCGGCCCGTGCCGTGGCAATGAAAGTGAAGTTAAGATCTGGAGTTAAAAATAAATTATTATTTTGTAAAATGAAATCCTAAAAAAATATTTAGTAAATTTCAAGAATTTACGGGAATGTAATAGTGAAATTTTTATTTTTGGTTAATCAACGATATTCTATTATTACTATGTTTCAAAAACGTATACTTCAATATTTAATATAATAATCGAGACCGGGCTGCCTTGCAACAATATGCAAATATGCAACAACGGGTGCTTTATGTTGGCTAGTTTTCACGATTGCGTGACGCCAACCTCTTTGAAAACAAACACCCAGAGTTGGAATTAATTATCTTTATATCACACAAATACGTGTCCCGTGAGGAAATCGAACCTGTTACCCCCGGCCTCAAAGCCAATGGCTTAGCAATTGCACAGCCGAGTCATCATCATAAACATTCTATGCGATATAGGTGAGCGAGGTAGCCGGGGCCCACTTTATTTAAAGGTGGCAACGCATTTGCAACCCTACGGGTGTTGCAGGGCGGAGGTTATCACATTACATCAGGTGAACCAGTTAGTTTGCCCCTTCCTCACATAAAAAAAGAAAAAAGCGATACATTCATTTTATGGGTAAATAGACACCACGTAATACTTTAATGTGAAATAACTAGTATTACTGGCCAGAAATATCAGGTAGGTACTACTTAACCCGCAATTTGCATACGTTTGATACTTTTTACTTATGTCGTAAGGTCACAGGCATTATCTCCTACTGGAATATTGTTCTTAATAACATTTGATTACTCTTTTCTCAACTATCCATTTGCATGGCTGATATAATGAACTGTATAGACGCATCATATGAAGATGATAGTAGATTGGCACTCTATCTTTTGTCTTCGAGTAGATGTAAAGCGATCAAAGGGCGAGACGGCACAAAAACTGTGTTTGCCCTCACAGCCAGATAGTGCATGAGCTAACCGTGCGATATCGCCGAGCGAACCGCAGATAAGGGCACATTTGTATAAAAACCAACTTGTATTTTATAAATAAGATAAATATAGACACGTATCAATCTGAAGTAACTTACTGTGTGCAGCTGTACGTGATTATCATGTACTGTTGAGTTATTTTAATTAGCCTTATTAAAAGTTTATGATTTTATACAGTCTTCATCAAATATTACATATTGTTTAATGTAATTGTCGCTTATGATTTGTTTTTTAAGTAACAACGTTTCGACCACCTTACACTTTACGATGGTTATGAGTGGATTGAGTTATTTACTCGTTCGATTGCTTACCTGTACTATAACAACTTTTTAAATGTGAGTTTATTCGTTGTGACCATTGTTATAGATATGTTTTTGGCAATCGCTCGTCCTCGCTCTGAGTAACTTCTCATATATATCCTGTGCGAATGCTTTTTCATTTTATAATGTGTGAGATATTTGAAGTCAGTTTTGTTTCGCTAATATAAATTATACAATCGTCAGTTTCAAATAAATAAATCTTTTCTAATAATCTTCGGAATCATTGATATAAAAGTGTGAAATTTGCGATGTAGTGAAATTAAAAAAGATTAAAGATGTCTTAGTTTTTTAAATTGTTTCCTCTTCGAAAAATTTTTTTTTAATTTTTTTTATGTGAAAAATTGCCAAACGAGCAGACGGTTCACTTGATGTTAAGTGAATACCGCCGCCCATGGACATCTGCTACACCCGAGGGTTTGCAGATGCGTTGACAACCCTTTTGGAAAATTACACAAAATAGGTCGTTTAAACATTTGTTTTCACTTAAATTCTTATATTATTTCAAATATGGGTTGTGGATTTTATTTGACAATAAAACTTGGATCACTTGACACACTTACACAATATTATTGAGTGGTCGTTCCTTTATGAAACTGGTTTTAGCTGACTGTTTTTTAATCCCTGAAAAACTCAACGTATTAAATGAAACTAATTTTACGGATTTATCGCGTTCATTTTTAATTTTAATTCCCGACGTTTCGAACCCTTTACAGCGTTCATGGTCACGGGACAGACGGGAAACGTCGGGAATTAAAATTAAAAATAAACGCGATAAATCCGTAAAATTAGTTTCATTTATAATGTGTAATCGCGTAAATACAAGAAATCAACGTATTAAATTACTTTATAAGTATTGAAATGCACCTTAAATTATTATCGAATGCTACTGGGTTTGGGTCCGTTCTTGTATGTAATAAGACGATGGTAACTTCACTGTTATGAAACTAAGCCCAGTATTAAGTCATAGTTTTACTTTGATGTTACAATTTAATGAAAAGTCCGTGATAGAAATTGAACTTAACTGCAATTGAACTAAAGCTGCTAGGAGATTAGGTTTTGTTTTTTGTTGCAGAGCTAACGACCAACTAAAAGGATATTACGAGGCTTGTGAAATTTCTTGAACAGTACTTTTTTTTCTGACTATAGCCATATTCAAATTGAAAACGCTCCCATAACTCGTTTTTGATAGAACTCTAATGGGCAAAAGATTCGTTACTCGTCACTTCGTTAAT